GTTCTGTAGAGAAGAGGGTAGCATAACTTGTGTTCGCCACCAGGACTCTCCTCGTGTACTGTAGAAACCTCACGACTGCTGTCAGAATATCAAGATTAACTTGCTTGATTGCAAGGCCACACACTGAAGAGCGGGTAAGACCGACCCAGGCATGCCTTGCTCGCAGCTCTGTGATACCGTCAGCTGGCAGACCAACGTGTTCCGACGAAGCATTGGAAATGGAGACTTGATATAAAACGGAGAAAAGGTTTTGTTCAAACAGGTACAGACTGTCTACCTCACGACGACACAAAGAATATTGCGTGCAACCCAGTGGCGCTTAAATGCCGCACCAGACTGTGCCAAAGTCGGCCTTGTAGTAGTCGCAGTCGCTCTTGGTGTATTCCACCGGCAAACACTGGTTCCCGGCCGGGTAGTAGCATCCGCTGCAGTTGGTGCACACGTCAGGTTGTGCAGACGTGGGCGAGGGGGTGGTAGTCTTGGGCTTTGTCGTGGGCTTGGTTGGAGTCGGCGACACAGTCGGCTTGGTCGTAGGGGAAGGGGAAGGCTTAGGGGTCGATCCGCTAATCGTGGGGAACGACACAAACTCAACGACATTGCACGTGCCGTTGCCAGCCCCGCCGCGCTTGAGGCGGATATGTCCAGCTTCGCCCCAGTTGGCGCTCCACGAGTTGCGGATCTTAATTGACGACGCGTCATATCCCACAGCAATGACGGCGTGGTCGGAGATTGCGCCAGGGCATTGCGAGACCACACCGCTGCGGTAGTTTTGCCACACAGCGTTACCCGCCTCGACAGCCACGGACACAGGCTGGTTGTTCAGTGCAGCGATAGTGGCAGACTCGCCATTCACCCGTACTGTCGCGCCGATGCTGAGCTGACGCTTGGTGCACGAGTTGGCACACGATCCAGTCAAGCCAGTGGTGCCAGACGTGTAGGGAAAGTCCTGCTCCAGGCACACGCCAGTGCTGACAAGGTAGTCGATGGCAGCATCCTCATAGCCACCGCTGCAACCGTTGCTGTAGCCGTTGGTCGAGCAACTCGTCACTTGCTGTTCGGACAAGTCGAGGAGCTCTCCCGACGCGAGGCAGTGTGCAGATTCAGAAGTTCCCACAGACGAAAAGGCCCAGCAAGACCCGCAGTTACCTTGGTTGCGAATGGGGTTGACACAGTTGCCGGTGGTCCAGTCCACCGATGCAGCTCGAGGTGCCTTCAGGTCGACTTTGGCCGACGGGAGAGCATTTGCAGCGTTCAGGCCTTGCTGGAACGAGCGACCGACCACAAGGTCCTTGAACTCGGCTTCCGTCATGAGAGCAAACGGGTGGTTGTAGTCGAATGTGGCTTCGGGGTTGTTGCGGCGGGCCTCCTCAATGCGAACCTTGTTATCGTAGAAGCGCTGGAGCGCGTCCGTTTCCGCTTCTAACGGGTTTGAGCCTTGGGGAGCGCGGGGCAGCAGACCCTGGGCCGCAGCCTTCGAACCAAACTCTTGGCGCCACTTGGCCAACTCCTCGCGCAGCGTCGTGCGTTCGTCGGACGATAGGGTGGTTACGGATTGCTTGGTGGCGGCGGCGGATGCAACGACGAGAGCGACAAACAACTTCATGGTGGCTAGCTCGCAAATTCAAAAGTGACGGCTAAATCGAAGGGTAAGTTTTGTCTTATCTGGTCTGGAATCATACAGGTTGCAGCTACATAAGCGTCTGATATGCATGTCAATACTTTACAGCTAGAAATGTTTGAATTCAATTGTCCAAATCGTTGGTTGCAATAGTCACAAGAGCTACATCACTGATGGTATTCTTGTGAGGTTTCCAGCATTACGATTTTTCAAAATTGTGACATCCGGCTGGTCCAGGAAGGTTGAAAGAAGCTTCCAGCTCGAACGTGCTTCATAGGTTGAGGGCCTCGTCTAGAGGGTGCAATCTAATTCCTGCACTTTTCATTTCGAGTCCGAGCTAATAAATATGGGGCGGCCGCGTTGGCGCTTCATTGTCTACATCAGTTTCTGTAGCATGTAGCACGGGTCGACTAAACTGGTGGGTCGTGTGGTCCTGTTGCCGGCCCTCAATTGGGCTCGAGCGGATTTTCAGTTGGTGATCCAAATTCTGATTCTGATTTTGGAATGAGCTTACTCACGGCCGGCAGCCGCAGGATACTCAGTACGCAGGCCGCTAATGGATACGACTTATGCTGTTCATGCACGTGTGTGAAGCCCATACAACAGCCTGAGCACAGTGCGGCACAAACCATATTCTGGCAGACACGACGGGTTGTGCCCTGAGTACAGTGAACCCCGGAAAAGCCGACACCCAAAAAAGCCGTCCACCTCCAAAACATGATCTGTTAATAAAATGAACATATTTTATTAAAAATAAATTCTACAACCTGTATATTTTAATGTCACTTCATAATTGTCATTCTTTTTGACAAATTGTAGTGCGGATAAAAGACAAACTGTGATTAACTACAGATTTCCCCCTCTAACCAAACGGGCCTTACTTTATATATTTTGTAAATTTATACTCTGGAGTAGAATTTAATTTCAGAGGTATTTCAAACTTTTGAACACGCCAGCGTCGTAAAAATAAGTCGCAACATGAAGCATCGATTGACCCTTGTCGAGTTCATTGGCACGGCCGCGAACCCTCGTTGTTTCATTGGACGACCCGCCGAGGAGCTTGGTTTCTACTACCACTCAAGCAAAAAGGGTTGGATGAACTCTCATATTTTTAATCAGTACCTGGAAGCCCTGGATGCTGACATGGCCGAGCATGGCCACAAAGTCCTTATGTTAGTGGACAACGCGCCGTCGCATTAGGTATTGACACTACAGTTTTGTCAAACGTTCGCGTGAAAATGTCGCCACCGAACACCACAGCGCGCCTGCAGCCGCTAGATGCGGGTATTATTGCGGCATTCAAGGCGAAAATGAAGAAGACACAGCTACAGAACGCCTTAGATAAAATCAATTCCGTTGTTGTAGGACAGCAGGAAAGGTTGTATGAAGTACCTCTTGATGTTGCGATGGGTTGGGTCAAGGACGCTTGGCTCTCAGTGTCGCGATCAACTGTGGCCAACTGTTGGGCCCGAACTGGTATTCTGGATGGCGAACTCGCCGTATTCAGTAGTAGATTGTCCAGTTTGCAAGTGAACGATTGCGAATAAGCAAATAAATGGTTGCCGTCAATATCGTTTGACAATTTAGCCCTACATAAATTCATATTCTGTTAAATTTGTTCAGGGTCAGCGTTCAGCTACGGGGGGGAATCAGTAATTGAAATTCTTCTTGTTATAGCCAATCAAGTTGAACTAGTTCATGTAATTCAATGGATTGATTTTATCCTTTCTCAATGCATTTTCAGGATGAAACGACCATGTCGGCTTTTTCCGGGGTTCACTGAATACCATCTTCACTGAATTTGACCCAGGCATTCCTGGGTGATTGTACTCGCAGCTGGAACTAATATTAGTAAGGATTCTTGCATTATACTACAAAGTAAACATTCTAAGGTATAGATAGTATCACTGAAATTTTGAGATTTCGCACGCTTGATTACACGTTCGACTCGCACAAGCCTCGACACAAAGGAACTCACACGCAAACTGCCGAAAAGCAGAAAAACAGCGGCATACGAGGCATCGCACTTAGTAGCCGCACCACACAGTGCCGTAGGTCGAGCTGTAGTAGTCGCACGAGTTCTTGTCATACTCGGCGCCCAAGCACTGGGAGGCGGCCGGGTAGTAGCATTGGGTGCACGAACCGCACACGACAGGACGAGGAGCAGGCGTTTGAGTAGTCGTGGGCTTGGGCTGGGGAGTGGTGGTCTTGGGCTTGGCCGTGGTGGTCGTGGGGGCGGGAGTTGGCTTGGGCGTGACACCGCCGATGTTGGGGAACGACACAAATTCGACGACGTTACACGTGCCTTTGCCAGCTCCGCCACGTTGCAAGCGAATGTGTCCGGCTTCGCCCCAGTCCGCACCCCACGAGTTGCGGATCTTGATCGACCAGGGGTCGTACCCCACGGCAATGACGGCGTGGTCGGAGATCGCGCCAGGGCACTGGGTGATGATGCCGCTGCGGTAGTTCATCCACTCGGCGTTGCCCGCTTCGACAGCCACCGACACAGGCTGATAGTTCAATGCCATGATCGTGTCGACTTCGCCATTCACGCGGACGGTCGACCCAACTTGGAGCTTGATCTTGCCGCACGAGTTGCTGCACACACCGGTATCATTCGCGTCGCCCGACGTGTAAGGATAATCGCTTTCCAAGCACACCCCTTCCGCCGTGATGTAGTCAAGTGCAGCATCTTCAAAACCACCATTGCAGCCCATGTTGTAACCGTTGGTCGAGCAACTCACCACTTGTTGCTCGGACAAGTCGAGCAGTTGTCCCGTCATGATACAGTGGGCCGATTCGGCCGTCCCCACCGATGAGAAAGCCCAGCACGATCCGCAATATCCTTGAAAACGAATGGGGTTGACGCAGGGGCCGGTGCTCCAGTCCACCGACGACGCTTGGACGCCACTTGGGGCGATGTTGACCGATGGGAGCGATTCAACGGCATTGACGCCTTGCTGGAAAGAACGGCCCACAACGAGCCGCTTGAACTCGTCTTTGGTCAAGAGAGCGAACGGGTGGTTGTAGTCAAACGTGGCTTGGGGGTTGTTGCGGCGGGCTTGCTCAATCGCGAGCTTGTTATCGTGGAAGCGCTGCAGCGCGTCCAATTCCGCCTCCAACGGGTTCAAGTTTTTGGCAGCACGGGGCAACAGACCCCGGGCGGCGGCCTTGGCACCAAACTCCTGGCGCCACTTGGCCAACTCCGCGCGTAGCGCCGTGCGTTCATCGGACGAGAGAGTGGTCACGGATTGCTTGGTGGCGGCAGCGGAAGCAACGACGAGGGCAGCAAACAACTTCATGGTGTCCAGCTCGCGAAGTCAAAAGTGACGACCAAGTTGCCAGGAATGGTTTGTCTTTCCTGGTTTGGTAGTGAACCGACTCGTGATTCATGAAAACTTCTACATGCAGCAGCACCTCTGATTTGCATGTCCAAACTTTGCGACCAGGAGTTCTACCTCACTTGTCCACATCATCAAATCAACGTGCTTATCAGTGCATGGGTCTCATTCGGAGTTGGCCGAGGTGACCGTTTCTGTACCAACAGTAGGATTATACTAGTGTTAGTAGGCGCGCTACTTTAGCAACAAATGTCGAACTGCGAAGTTGGATATCCCAATTCCACTTCAGCTTTGCAAAGCACTAATGTTAATGGATTTAATCCCGCAAGTCTCTGCAAAACCAGGATTTTAATGTTCTCATACAATTATTTCGCGCTCAGTATCGCGAAAAA